TGTGGGTGTGGAAAATCTCAGCACTACGTGTTTAGTGAAAACGCACCCCACTAGTGTGCTCTCCATCCTCTACGTGGTAGCGGGGATTTCTAGAGTTCCCTCTTGACCTGAATCCTCCCTTTCGCTTGTTTTAAAAGCGTGTCTCTTCTACCTCAGCGGTCGTCCTCTGACCCCACCCTCCGACACCCGCCACTTTCTCGAGAAGCCTTTGGTGTCTCACTTGCCACCTTTGAGTCTTTCTTCCTCTGTAGATTAGGGCTGGGTGTACAGGATGCCTTGGGAGAGAAGGTGGAAAGCAGACGCAGTCCTTCAAGTGCCCCTCAGCACAAACTGTACATGCGAAGAAATAGTGTCTAGACAGAGAGCTGGAAAATTAAAAGGCTGGAAGAGGCACTGGCCGTGCTCCGGATGTTTTCTTAAACTGTGGAGTATTATAAGTCAACACCCAAAACACGATGATAAAGTGGGCAATGGCTTGGACAGACATTTCTCCAAGGCAGAAACACAGATGGGCAATGAACACATGAAACGATGCTCAGCTGAGTTAGTCACCAAGGAAAGGAAATCAAAACCACATTGAGGTGTCCCCTCTCACCCACTAGATTGGCTGTTAGTTTTAAAAACAGGTCCAGCAGCAAAGACTACAACAAAACTCTACAATACCACCCCCCCTGGATGGACCCTAACAATCCAGGGTATGGAGGAACAGTGATTCTGCATGTTGCTGTTAGGAATGTAAAGATGCTCAGCTAATGTGGAGAGCAGTTCAGTGGTGCCTTCAACGGTTAGCTTATGGCCCAGCAATTTCACACCCAGGAATACGACCACAGAATTAAAGCAGGAACTCAAGTGAGAGTGTGTACACACATGCCCACAGCGGTAACCAACGGGTGAAAACAGCGGAAAGATCCCCCGGACAGGTGGACCTGGCAAGCACAATGTCACCTTTCCCTACAGTGGAATACTGTCTGGACGTGGGGAGTACCCATCGACGCTGTCAAGGTGATGAGCCTTGAAGGCAGGCAGATGGAAAGGATCACACACTGTATGATTCCATATACATAAAGTACCCCAAACTGAAAACCATGGAGACAGAATAGAGGCTTGTGATTTGCCAGAGACTAAAGGGAACAGGTATTGGAGGGCAATTGCTCAATGGGTGTAGGGTTTCCTTTTGGGGTGATGAAATGTGCTTTAATTAGATAGAGGCAGTGGTTGTAGGACACCATAAATGTGCAAAGTGCCACCAACCTTGTCAGCTTTAGATGTCTGGTGGAGATCGATACGTGCATTTCACCTCGGTTTCTTTGGTGGTGGTGGTGGTGGTGGTGGTGGTGGTGGTGGTGGTGGTGGTGGTGGTGGTGGGATTTTTGTTTGTCTGGTTTTTGGTTTTTTTGAAACAGGTTTTTGTGTAATCTTGGCTATTCTGGAACTAGCTCTGTAGACCAGGCTGGCCTCGAACTCACAGAGATCCGCTGGTCTCTGCCTCCCAAGTTCTGGGTTTAAAGGTGTGTGCCACCACCACCCGGCTCATCTCAATTTTTAAAAAAGCAAAAATATTAGGAAAATTTCAAATAGAATAGAAAAGTATACATAACACTTTATCAAGCATCCATATAATTATTCCCCATTTTTTCCCCCTCTTACTTGCTTCTTGGTTTTGAGGCACCTCAGTGATCTGACATGTTGTCTCTCCCACCCTTGTCTTGCCCTCTCTCAATTCTCCATCCTCAGGAAGAGCCGAGGCTGAAAATGTTTATTGCTTCAGCACTCTTTAGACTCCACTGTGTGCACAACTATGAGCACAGTGCTGCTTTCTGGTGTTACACTTGTGACAATCGTATCACACTGGGTGTGCCCTTCTGTAGCTCCCAGCACGTTTTGAGACTTATACCTGTCGCCATTTTTTAATCTCTTCTTCCATTGTTGGATATTTTGGCTGTTTCCAGTTTGTTGCTTTTAGCTGCTGCACACAACATTACCAGGAACATCCTGGTCATTCTCGCTGGAAATTTCTCCCTGAATGCATGGAAATTTGGCAGCAGGGTCACAGGGCATGAACATCTCTGCTTCTCATTTGTCACCACCCTGCTGTCCCAAAGGGTCATTCTAATCGACACGTCCCAACAGTAGATTTCCCAGGAAGCTCATCCAGTCTCTCTAAGCTTGATACTAACACCCGCTCAGTTGTCTTCCAAGATCCTGCCTCACTAAAAGGACCTCTGTATTGCATACACAAGATTCAGGCTAAACCTGGGCCTTCTCTGCTCTCACCAGTAGCATATGAAAGTCCCCATTGTTCCCCGTCCTTGTCACACTTGGTAGCATCAGCCTTTGTGATTTTTCTGCTCATCCTGTGGGTGTTAAATGCCTGATTATTTTTCAGTTCTGTAGCTCGAGTGGATGGTGCCTCGGGGTTCAGTTTCCCATGCCTGAACTCTCAATAGCCTGGGAGATGCAGATGTCCAGGGCCAACAGGCTGGAGCTACCCTACTCCCCAGAAAAGGATCATGACTCCTGGTGGGGCTGGCATCTTTACCCTCCATGTCCCCATCCCAGAGCCCCTGATCTCTGTAAGATCCTCCAGGGTAGTGAAAAGCAGGCCCAGCTCAGCAGGGGACCACATCTTTCTGAAAATCCCGAGAGCCACAGGCAGTGGGGAGACAGATGCAAGCCCAGGGGTGACATGTTCAATGCTCTCCCCTTCAACACCTCAACCCAGGACATTGCTTCTGGTCTCATCTCCAGAAAAGTCCCTGCCCAGTAAGAGACTTTTCCTTTTGTACCCCATAATATCTGTTTCCTTCACCCTCTCTTTCCTCTTCCTGGACCTCTCCCTCTTCCTCTTCCTCCTTCCTTCCCTTCTAAGCCAGATACTTCATGACGCTCAGGCCACCATTCCTTGAGAAGGAACTTAACACCAATGCTTTCAATTCTTAGATGTACCAAGCCTCACAGAGGCAGTTTCTTCCACAAAGTGCCGGGAGAGAACCCCACCTTTAATGTCCTTTCAAAAATGGACAGACATGCTGGAAATACCACCATCACCCCATCCATCCCCTCCCCGAGAGGTGGGCTGACATCAAACTTCCTGGAGAAGAGTGTGCTGAGAGCCGGGGGTGTTGGTTCATACCTGTGATCTTATCGGTCAGGAGCCAGGAATTTGTGGCCACCCTGGGCTACAGAGTAATAGTCTGTCTTTTTAAAAGAAGGATACTAGGAATTCCAAAGGTGGCTGTTTATACCCCCTGTACTCCTCAGCAGTGTCGGGAAGGAAGCAGGGTCGGTCCCTGGTGACAACTGGTGCTTGCAGGGTCATATTTAGGGGTGGAGGCAGGATGAGAGAACCACCTGGAACTGGTTTGCAGTACTGACTCCTTCACCGAGCTGGACCTGTTAATTATTAAAATGATGGCTTTCTGAGT